CAATAAAGGCTATTCGGTTCGTCTCAGATGATGGTCGGTGCAATGGATGTTTGTCCGTAGTGAGAGAAGAAGTTTCTGGAGATTACATGCGCGCACATTTACACACACACATCAATACAACACACACATACGCAACATCCATTCATTCGGTGTCGTTGTTGTTATGTTTCTCTTTAACTTTCTATTCTCTTTACCGGACTATAATTTAATTCGTAGGTAAGTTAGGGATTGAGATGAGTTGAACAATCGTAGGTAGGCTAGGGCTTAACATTAGTTCAAATAAAATAAAAACGCTAAAATATGTAAAATAAAATACTTTAGACATGTAAAATTTCTTGAACGTAAATATACAAATTTGTAGGTAGGTAGGTGAGTTGAGTTAATCATTATAGGTAAGCTAGGGTCTTGAGAGTAATTTAGTTGTAGGTAGGTGACTGACTACTATATTTCGACTTTTAACTATTTTTTGCTATATGTTTGTTTTTGCTTCATACCATCACAACAACAAAACTAAACATACTAAATTTTTTTTCGTCGTCGCCTTAAATTATACTTTTTTATAAACAGTTTTTTTTAATAATGTCTTTCTATTTATTTATTAAATGTTGACTGGTTTCAAGTTTTTTTTAATTTGGTTACATAATTTTTGGTATTTCTTGATTTACTTTGCATATATGCATGTATAAATAATTTCTTTTTGGTATGTTGATTTAGCCATTATGATATGCTGTGAACTGTTCTTACTAAATGTTCATGTTACGTGGGTGATTATCCTTCGAGAACTTCTAAGGAGTGCATTTGATGATAGAAACAAAAAGTTGATTGAACGTTGAAGGCGGCTGGACGATAAATGCTTACTCTGAGTTCTGACATACATTTTAAGACTTATAATTTGTTTTTAATATTTTAATTGTTGACTTTTTTCAATAAAATTTAAAAACAAAAAATCGTTGAGTTGAATTTCGTTCTAAATTTTATACCTGAAAATAATCGAAACCGAAAGGGAATTGATTTTATAACATAGGACTGAAACATCATCACTATATAACAATAAACAATAATAATAAATATTTTTTTAATGGTCGATATTTCGTTATATTCGTATGTTTAAAATCCG